AAATTACGGATTTATAAAATTTCTGAAAATTTCCAAAAAAAATCAAAACAATTAACAATATAAATTTTCTATACTTGTTGCATTAACTAACTTTTAATGTTAGAGTTGAGAATTTTGTGGTAAAGTAGCAGGCAGCCATAAGAAATCATGATGCATGTTCAATCTCTGTACATGTCGGGGAGAAACAAAAATCCAACAAGGGAGAAACTGGCTATTCAAATTATTTCAAACATATGATACCTCAGGGTTAAGTGGTTTGCCTTTCAAAATTGCTTTAAGCTAAGAACGTGACTACTTAAATCACCTCTTTAAATTTTTTATACAGTGCATTAACAACAATCACACAGTTTATAGCCCTGGAAATTTAAATAATTCCATTATTCCATTTGACGCAAAAGGAGATTAAAATCAATTCAGTCAACAAATAATTATTATTCGCTAAAGACTGGAAATAAAGCGTGCTCCACCTGCTATTAACAGGTTTTATGCGTTTTTTTAAAGCAACATCGCTCCGAGAAATGTTTTGGTCAGCTCCAGGCCTCTGACTTTGGGTGACAGAGAAGGGTGGCCCTGGAAACAAGTTTGCCTAACCAGCTACACAGACAGATGCACCAAAATCAACTGTTAAAATTTCCTGATGATGAGACATCTGTGCGGAGGTTTGTGAAGTGTCCATTGCTTGCTGCAACAAGCAATTCAGGACACTACACGGACCTCTCAGAGTTCCTCATTCGTATCAAATATTTTAGACTGCAGAACCGTCATATTTTTGCAAATGTCCACTGCCTTTGTACAAAAGCTCTCGAGAAAGTGTCAAAACAGTGAGTGTCACTAGGGAGTGGTCGGCATGCAATTCATGTCTGCGTCGCTTCATTCTTTTTTTGCGAGTTTACGGACCTCAACTCCGTCTCAGTCCATAAACACCACCCCAAAAAAGAACTTGGCCAATATACAGCCATCTTGACGTCACTCTTGGTCAACAACAACTAAAGACAACTACCTACTCAGACTAAGGAGGTCAAAGACCTCTTCAGTCTGCAGATCAAAGTATGAACTCTCCTCAAGAAATGCCCAATATTGCTCTTATCAGTTCTAAGAGTTTGGTGTCACATCATCAAGGCAACATCATTTCAGTGGTAGTTTGATGATTTTCTATCCATGTATCTGGGGTGCTGTGCTGACTGATTTAGAATCTGGGTTAACTCCAATCCAGCATTGGTTTTTTGTTATGTGGTCAAGATCACAGGCTAGTATCTAGGGCACTCACTCCCAGAAAAATTGGGCGGGGGGGGGGGGGGGGGGGGGG